TTTCCTGTCTCCACTTTATGAACACAGCTTGAGCAAATTGCAAAAAATGCACGTAACAATTAATTTTTTAGTCGAGAGTTTCAACTTAACTCAAGATGCTAATGGCGGAGAGATCGACCCAGAAATGACCCCCGGACTGTTCCAGGGAGATATGGCGTTAAATAATGACTTGTATAACTACTGGCGTGTTGGTATAAAATGGGATGCTTTTCCAGAAAAACTATGGAAAAACGGCATTGTGCCTTACATGATCAGCCCTTTATATGGTAATTGATAAATTTATAGGTTTGTTGTTATCTCGTATGTAGTAAACTTTTGGGAAAGTAGGCCAGTAAGGCCAAAAAAAAAGTTATTCGTCAACAATTTCTGTTTCCGATCTAAACAATTACATTGTCAAGATTATCCTTGAAGATGTTTGATTTATGGAACCTGATAAATTTTCTATTAGCCTGAAAACAGCAAAAGGAAACTGTTATACAATGGGAAAGTTTTTGCTACAATATTGTAGCTGAGCTTGCACAACATCGAGAGGTTCTAACTAGCATGATCTTCCACTGATGAAATTATTATCCTAAAACGGTGTTAATGTGTTTTTACACGCTACAAGCTTCACATTGAGTTTTCTTAAGAATCTTAAACAAATTATTATATACAAAATAGGTCCAGCAGTCACAAGCAAATTGCAATGGCTCTTCTCACTTACTCCCGTGTAAATAATACATCGAACCAATTGAGAAAAGCATTTGCTGAAGGCAAAGTAACAATTTTGATCATGAAAAGAAGTGTGTTTGTGAGCGTGAAAAATAACACTTAAAATGGGCTGACTTGGACTGAATTTCCAGAACCAACCGAACAAGTTACAATATTAAAAGCAATCAAGACCTTCAACTTTATGACGTGCGTGCGATTCGTCCCTTGGGATGGAAAAACTAAAGACTACCTTTTGATTTGGCCCATCAAGTACCCGAAAGGCTGTTGGTCATTTGTTGGTAAGTAGTTGATCCATAAACTTGGGGGGATATTTATTCATAAGGACAAACAGAATGATTCCTTTTTAATATTGCAATAAAATCCTTTAATGCATAAAATTATCATTATTATTATCAGTTAGGGAAAATATGCTTTTTTCATAATAAATGGCAATAGGATTTATATTGCCAAAATGTCACCTACACCTTCAGCAAAAAAATTCTTCGGCCGCCCAATCATAAACTTGCAATATTTTTATAATTTTTTAACATTTTTAACATGCAACGAAATATAACAAACATACTAAACACAAAGTTAAATAAATCA